GGTGGAATGGCGGATTCATTGTCATGAGGCAGTCAATGATGTCCCGCGGTAGGCAAGACAGTAGATTTAGCATGCCTTTCCTGATACCAAACCGACTACAGCCTCTCGTCATCCCCTCCTCGGAAGTCCGCTTATGAACATCACATTATCTATTTGTTTTTGCTAAGATAAGCACATTCTTCTGAGGACCGTGATGTCTGATTTGTAACGCAACATTTCCCATACCATCAGAACTCTCCTCCATTCTGTTAGTAAACATCTGCCAGCAAAGAGGTCTTACCGAATGCAGTGGAAATGTGCCCAATCTGCGTTCATTCCATTTCAGACCGAGGAAACACATAGTGGCGTCGTGATTTCTGATGAAGCACCAGGAACCATGAACACCACTCCATTTTGCGCCATCACGCAGGGTGCCGTATTTGGAGCACCAATTCAGACACAGGAACAAAGTATGCAACTGCCTGTAAGTTGACTTAACACACATACGCATGTTGCTGCCTATACTTTCCTTCCTGTGGACAGTGAGACAAACTGATGTTTCAGTAAGCTCGGAGCAGAAAGTAGTCCACACGCAGAATGTTGCTGACTGCAAGACTGACCATATCAATGTCCATTGTATTTCAGGACGTGCCCCATGTGCTGGCGGTGTTCATTCAGAAGCTCGAAGAGCGAGGGCTTGATTCTCCTGAACTGTACACAAATATACCCAATTCCCTGTCTCTCTGCGTAAAGACGCATTTGATTAACTCAGTGAGTTTCCTGAAGACACTTATCACTCTCTTATTCAAATCCTGCTTCTTTGTGTGTTATCGGGATCCTACCGATGAGATCTGTACAGTTATTGCATTAACATGCATTAACCACATTTCAGTACCCAATTGACGATCTGGCCCGAATCCACCCAGAAATCTTCGCGGACCCTCACGACCTAGCAGCAATGATTACCCTCTACGTTGAATGTCTGCCGACGAGACTGGTGGAGGGCATGGGTGAGTCATTCATCTGACATGAGTTAACTTTTCATGCTAGACGCTTTCTGACGAGAAGTCAGCAGTCAATAGTGAGCAGTTTTCTTGTCTTTCTCACAATTGGCAATGCCTTCTCCCATCACTCGGTGCTTTTCCGCTCGGCCGTAATCGAAAACGGCAACTTATGATTATACTGTTGTAGCGGAAGATGGGGATACTTACATGATTCCTAATGCAACTGTAGTTCATTTGAATGAGGATCGTGCATACAGCCTGTTTCGAAATGACGTGATGGGTGTTGTCGTTTTCAGAGGTGTGGAGATCAGCGCTGGCAACACTGCCACGAAATGGTGAAGTGGACTTGTGCATGCCTGAGACGTCTGTGGACCTCGTCCTGCAGTCCAGTGAGGAGGTGACATGTCTGGTGAGTTGCGAGGTAGCATGTGCATAGCTGTCTGTCTGTGCGTTGTTTAGGTTCAAGTACCTAACATCCATCCTCCAATGTCCACAGCGATTCACGTCTTTCCAACTGACTGGAGGTGTGCTTTCAGTGCATGGTGAAGTTGGTGCCTACTTGGCCACACTGGACCACCTGTTCACACACTGGCACAAGGTGTGGCAGTTGGTCCGCCGGCGCTCGCAAGAAGAGGAAGTCCGCCTATTCATCCTCATATGCCGAGCTGTGTCCGGCCAGACCGATGACGAATCTGTTCAGGTAGGATCTTGCTGCGGCAACTGCATGTTTCTCCTTAAGGCAGGATTTGCCATCAATCTG